TCCAGCCGGATCAATGAGTGTGTGCTGATGAGTTAGAGTGATATTTAGTTTGTAAAAACACTGGAAATACAGAGAATGGAAACCAAAGAAGAAACATCATCTGAAGCCCTCCGGAGTGCCATTAATGCTTTATTATCAGTTGTAGCAGGACTGGAAAGTATAGCTGGATAAAAGAAAAACAGCAACTCTGAAGGTTTTTACTCTTCTCCCTATTGAGTAGCTATTCAGTTAATACCAGACTAAATCCAAAGTGGGATGAAAGTAAATGATTGCTAGATGGGTGATTTTAATAGATTAAATGTTAGCAAGGAGGGTTCTGCTTTGGTTTTGTAGAATGTCTCCCTGGTCAAATTAGACTGAAGGTGTTAGTATAGGTCAATTATATTGTAGTATTTATGTATTTATTAATATTAAGTAATCCTCTAGTCTCGACAGGGCTATAGTTTTTTCATACATGCAGCATAGGTTGATTTTAATTAAAATGATGAGCACGGAAGAAATATGATGTGAATGAGCTGGAAAACAATTTGTTACACTAGATCCAATTAGCTACAGCTACAGATATATCTGTAATTAAACCATAACATAAGACAAGATGTGCATTATCAGCAAATTACCACATATGTCCAATGGAAGTAAGATATTAATGAGCCCACCTGTAAGAATTCTTTGAATAGTATGCCAGAATTCTCCCTGAAGCTGTGAGTTTCATTTCTTACATTAGGGTGGGTTAAAGTTACTTTATGGGTACAAAGCCTGTAACAAGCCTGCAAGATGCAATAAAGCCTGTTACTTTTGTCAGTGATGACTACAAACCTTAGTTCCGGCCATAAGGACTACTTTATATATCCTTTGGCAAAACATAATATCTCATGTCACACAAGAGCTCATTTCTCTATATTATCACATTCTCATCAGGAAATCTGGATTTTTCCGCTCTTTTGTAATGTGTATTGTCTAGTTTCTGTTACACGTAACCAAAATGCCTTGTAACATAGTTAACAACTAAATAACCCTGCAAACATTGCAGAAATGCAATAGAGAGTCTTCAAAGGTGTGAACTACATAACACTTCTAAAGTCACACATCTTCATTAATAGGTAGGTCACTCTTCTTCAATAATGGAATGATAGTCTGTGTGATTTATTAGATTAGTAATTAGTCATTGCTCAAGCTTTTCTACTGTTGTTGTCCTCTTTTCTGCCTCTTCCTTTCTCCACCTTACCTGACACTCTAAAGCCCTTGGTTGAAGGTGAGCGGGAGCATGTGGGACAATTTACAACATCTGAGCTAATGGATTCCAGGAGAAGATGGGAAGAGAGTGGAGGATACCTTGTAAGAGAAAGTACTTTTATCATTTGTGTGTGGTTTGTGTATGTATGTGCTAAAATTACTGCTCTACTGAATCCACACTGATTCTATTTTTTTTCTTTAAACATTGTGATTTTTTTTTCAAAATAAACACTCAGGGCAGTAGGACAGTAAAGCATTTACCACTTTGTAATGTTGTCATTCTCTTTCACAAAGCTTAAAAGATGTTTAGGGACTGAAGTGATGAACAGCAAGTGATGAACGATTTCAGGTGTGATTTTGTCCCATTGTTCCTGCAAATAAGTTTGAACGTGTGCAAGAGTATGGGGTCTTCGTTGTCATGTTTTGTTTTTTAAAAAGTGCCACACATTCTTTATTGGGGACAGTCCAGCAAGCACCCACACCCTCTTCTTCCTTGGCCATGCCTTTTTAATGTGTGCAGAATGTGCTGTTGCATTATCTTGTTATACCATGACAGACCCATACCATGCATTTTTTTGGACTAGTTGCTGGCAACAGTCTGGATGGTCCTTATCATCTTTGGTCCAGAGCACACAGTGGCCATGTTCTTCCAAAAAATACCTGAAATACTAATTTGTCTGAGCGCAACTATGCCTCTGAGTCCAGAGACGTTGACAGTTGACATCCTGACTTCCTTTTGGCAAAGTTTTAACTGGAATTTGTGATGTAACTACATATTGTAATGCTTGACAAAGTGTTGCCAAAGTAATGCTGAGCCCATGTGGTTATATCACTTATAGATGAATAAGGGATCACCATCTGAGGGATTGGAGAGCGCAGTTATTGAGCTTAGGCTTGCGCCCTTGCTCTTTATGCACTGAACTTCCTCCAGATTCCATGAATCTTTTAATTATGTTATGCACCTTCCACCCTCTGGAAAAAAAGGTGCGAAACTGTCACTGGGGCAGTACCCTTCTTGTCGTTGGGGTGGTACCCTCAAGGGTACATCTCTGTATGTTTAGTCAGGGAACATAATTTTACCATAGACCATCAAAATTATATTCTAAGTTGTATTGGCTCTACACACTCCACACATCTCCAGGCTTTTTATTTTATTGTTCTGTTTAAAAGGTGATGAAAAAGTACAAATACCTACTTTTCATCTGTGGAAAAAAACCTATTTAAGGTGCACAATTGGACCTTAAAACCACTGTTGTACCTTTGATTGTACATTTACATTCCACTTCGGCAGTACTTTTACCATTTGCATGTGTGTGACAGAGAAGGTGTGCATGGCTGCATGTGCATGCTTGTTTATGTGATGGTATATGCTGTAGGTGTTAATTTTATGGATGCGCACCAGCAGTGAAACCATATGGCCTAGGGGGTAAATCACTTGTTGAGATTTCGTCTTACTTTTCACTGTCACTTACAAGCTGGATCAAGAGAGGAGATGATGTAGAATATAATGAACAGTGACTGTGCTCTGACAGCAGAGTCTCATTATGATGTTATTGCTACCATCAGGAAAGGATCCGGAGCCTTAGGCTATTCTAGAGGCAACAGCTGTGAACAAATCGTTCAACTGGTTATGAATCTTGAAATGAACATGCGAATTATTAATGTTTTGAAATTCCCATTGTTGCATGGTATCTTCTTCACTGCATACAAAACCGGTGGACACGAACTCCCTTGACTTTTAAATGCAGATCATTTGTCTCTCATTGCTACCTGTGGCGTTTGATATATTGCTGCTTATTTCATTCTGTGGCCAATTGCCAGCCTCCCTAGTTGCTTTTATATGCATGTACTGAATCATTTATCAACTCACAAAATGTCTCAACAACATCAGAAACACAGAGGGTATGATGCTGGGCTTACAGGACTTAAGATGGTTTTGGTCAGCCTTTTCCTTAAATGAAATGTGTGTCTTACTGCAGCAGGCATCTGTTTTGAAGATGCAGCCCTGGTGAAATTAAATGAGAAAAGTGCAATTATTCTGCAGTAAATAAAACCATCAGTGAATGGTTGTGCTGGGGATGATTAAATCATTGTTATTGTGCCATCATCTGTAATGCAGCAATAATGAAGCAAGGTCCATAATGGGAAAATCAAAGTTTCTCAATGTTTGGCTTCTCAAATGCTCTTCACTCACCGCCTGAAATGCTCTTCACTCAGTCCTTATCTGGAGATAACAAAAGCCTCACAGCATAATTACCTCAGTTGGGGTCACCTTGAGCTTTGGAGGAACACGCTGTGGTGGACACATTCAACATAATGTGATCCAGTAATGGACACTTTTTGGTAACATTCCCCACACTATACAGATTGGATTTAATGAGAGATTCATGACATCCTCGAGAGCACAGACACTCATACTGAAGGCTCTTTTTCTGAACCAGACTGAACTGTCTTGTGAAGTGTAAGTTCTGTATGGATGGCCTTTTTCTCTTTTTGTTCTACTTTCTTTTTTCTACCCTCTTATCTTTCCCCTCTTTCCTTTTCTTAACCTTCTTATCTGTCTACTCTGCTCTACAGTGTAAAAGCTATTTTATTTTAAGGCACTGGCTGGTAGGCTCATGGGGATGTGGAGGTCAATGCACAGGTCAACATACTTATGTGTTCAGCAATCCAGATCCACAGACAGAGCACTGGCCATCCTCATCATGTTTTTTTGCAGGTGCACACTACATGTTAGTATTAGTATTAAGCCAAAATACAACTCATATGCTCATACTTAGAATCAGTGTCATCATTTTAATTTTTCCAAGTATGAGTAATATGTATAAAAAACTGAATTTAACTGTAGTTAGAAACCTAAGTGTGTTAAATGCAGACCCCAAAGTGTAAAACAAAAAAAAACAACAACAAAAAAACAATGGAAACTCATAGTAGTACTTGACCATGGGTACATTGGTATTGGCCAATGCTTTTTAATGAAATATTGGATTTCATATAACAATACTGTTCACCTCAGGCTAAGAACCTTTTTAGGCACAACCCACATATTGAAATAAAGGATGCTTATTTTTATCACATTTAATCATTTAGAATAATAGGCAGTCTCACTTAAAATTAGTTTTAATCACAATATCTAAAATATACTGTGGTACTGAATATAGAAGGCAGTTTTCAGACTACTTTCTTAGTTACCCCCTTTAAAAAAGACACCAATTCCATGAGACCCATTGAGAGGCCTTTGTGATTTATTAAAGTGTTGGAGGTACTTGGTAATACTAATAATAGAATACCATTCAATTTGCTCTTATTCAAAATCCCACTTACAGAGAGAGAGAAAGAGAGAGAGAGAGAAAGAGAGAGAACACCTGAAAAGCCCAAAGCCATCAAGCCTTGCACTTAAAAAATGACAAAGTGTCTTAAGTGTTTACAAAATTCATTATTACAGAGGATTACATGAAGCAATACCAAATTTACCTCAAAATAACAGGAACAACAACATTTTATATATTTTATCTACCTGAACCCCACCACCTTTTCAATCACTCCACTCTGAACCACTCCATCATTCTTTTGATTCCTTGACAGAAGAATAAATATCATGACTCAACACAAGAGAAAATATTATCTACTCATCTGCCATTAATTTACTGACATATCCTCCTCAACCATCTGCAATCTTGGCATTATTGCACTTACATGAATAAAACAAAGCGCAAAGTGAGTTTCTAGGTTTTTGTGTGTTTTTTTTTGCAAGAATCAAAGGCAGAGTCTTTAAACTGGTTGCTAGGAGTTCAACGATAGAGCTTGGCACTGCAGACAGCTGTGTGGAAACGGCACACGATAGCGAGGGCTCAAACCTCGGACTCCAGGCTGGAGATCCTGCCCCATGTCAGAGGTACACCTGGGCTGCTGACCCTGTGAACCACCCTGCTGGCTGGAACAGGCAGCAGATGGTCATCCTGTAGATGTCCAGGAGCTCTGTACGCCCCATATACACTGTCACTGGGGGGTGCCATGCAGGGGAAGATGTTACACAGCTCAGCTGGTCCATATGGCAGTGTACTCTGGTAAACTGGCAGGTCAGGGTAGGAGTATTGTCTGTGCACTAGGCTGGTGGCCCTCCTCACAGCTGCGGCATTGTGAAGAACCGCCTCTCTGTAAGAGGGCAGCCTGGTTGACTGGGTGTGCCTCAGCTTCTGACCCTTTCTTGGATGACGGCGGAATGGGTGAAGGTAACTGTGGTCCACAGGCAAGGGGTAACACAGGTTATTCCTTACTCTTCCACATACTTCCACGCAAGGGAACAGGTCTGGTATGTCAGGTCGGGATGATGCTGGGGGAAGGGGCCTGTCACCTGGAAACTGAACCCTGTCAGGGCCCCAGGTAGCTTTGAGGAATGACGGCCTGCGATGGAGCTTCCTCTTCCCTATTAGAGGCACATCATCCAGCACTGGATCCACATAGGTTTTAATGCAAGAATTGCAGGTAGGATCTTCTGGTCTATAAGGGCTTTCCACAGATGAAGTGGGAATATTGTCATGTGCAAAGTGGCTTGCTCTGAGTTCTGCAAGACAAATTGTCTGGTCTTTGTAATCATGTAACCCTCTAAGATCCATGGACTCTACCAGTGCACTACGGGACCTCTTTTTCCTTCTAAGGCCTTCAGAGGTGCGGCAAGGTTCTTGATGCTCAGCATAGATATCTGGCATCTGTAGATCTCTATATGGTACAAATGGGGATGCTGACTTTTGAGAATGGGGGTCATGCATGGCTAAATGAGGAGTGCTGATACTAGACACTGGAAGCATCCCATTATACAGGCCACCAGACCGGGAAGGGAGGGTGTAGCGTAGTGGAGTGGGCCGTGTTAACAGTCTGTTATTGGGTACATGGGGTGGGCTGGCAGCGTCGGTGTAATGCTGTGTGAACGGGGGTGTTAAGGAGCGCGGCACATGGGATGAGTGGTTTTCTGTGATGTTAGTAATGTAGGAGAGGTGACCAGGCACCGTCTCAGTGGTGGTCACTTGCGGTATGCGCGCTGGCAGACTTCCCCCTTGCCGACTCCAGTTCTCAATGGTTTTTGTGGCATTGTCCAGAGAGCTTTCTACCTTTGCTGAGGAAACAATGTCTTTGGCAGTCTGAAGCATTTTCAGCATGTTGGCCTGGGCATAGTTGGTAGTAATATCAGGGTTCTGCATGTTGCCCGATCTTCCTACATCCTCAACACCATTAAAGCAGCTGTATATGCCCTGAGAAAGAAAGAGACTTGATATCATACCAACATCATATCATATCATCATCAGTCATTTTTTGGAACTGTCGGAAAATAATAGTTGCCCTTTATACTGTACAAACATTTCTTGGCAAATGGACAAATGGAAATGGCCCCAATCTGTTTAAAATACAATCCTGCACCATTAACGTTGAGAATGTTTGTTTTTTCTCTCTCCTGTAACATTTCCTTTTTTATGATAGAACAGTGACCATATGCTGTATAATGATCATATATTTAATAATTACATATTGTACATAATGTAACTGAAAGAAATAGTGTCACTGCACATGTTTTGTTTGGCTGTGATGTTTTGAAAATTGTATGTTCAAGCTCTATGAGTTAAAGATGAAATGCTTTTTCATTGAGAATTACTTGACATCCATGTTTAGACCAAGATATGAGCAATGGTCAAATCCAATATTTCCCAGGTTTATGTGGGCAACTAAAATCATCTATCCAATTAAAACCCCAGTTGAGACAACTGTCACAAGATATACACCCATGTTAAATAATACGACCGTACAACTTCCCATCCCAAAAAAAGTGCACAATAAATAACCATCCAGAAAAGGTGACATTATTTTTCATGGTGACAAATTTCTTCCATATCATCTTGTTAACTGTAACCCAGTGAGCTTAAGCATGCATGAGTTTTGACTTCACTGTCTCACTATTTATGGAGGGAACTGTATATCTAAAGCAATGGCTAATACCGAGGTAGAAATAATTACCTGAAAGATTGAATGATGCGGTACTCTTCTATAATGAGTAATTAGCTAAATATGTTTTAGCTATCAGCCTGGACAGCCTGAGGTCCTCTGGCCATTAATTATGTGCACTTTGATAAGAAAATAATTTACTCCATGAATTATTTCATACTCAATTACTACACAGTCCATTATTTAAATCTGGGCATGAAAGCACTAATTATTTCAACATTAGACTTATTTTTTGTTTTGTTAACATGGCCACAAGTAAAATAAGTAAGGTGCTGCAGTGTGGTATGGTGCCAACATACCCTGCTTATGGCCAAGAGGAAGTCCAAGCGCTCAGATTTGTGTACATAATGTCTGAATTTCCAGTAAAGCAGATGTTCCCAGGCAAAGACAAGCAGACTTAGGCCCATCGCCACCAGCAACATGTAGAAGACGCCTGCCATGTTGTCTATGTCCAACTTGGAACTCATCACCTCATTCTTCTCATTCTGGCATATACCAGACAGCCACACGGTCTCCAGTCTCTGTGTGTCCCCTTCAAGAGCAGAAACAAAAGCAGAGAGTCAGTAAGCAGTGCCAGTCTGTCCAGCTGTTCAGGTTTTCTTTCTCCTGAATCTTTTCTTGTCAGATCCGTATAATATGCAAAACCTATTCCTATCAAGTACTTTTTATTTGTACTTTTATTCATATTTACATTGTAAACCCTTAAAAATAAAGGTTCCTAAATGATCCTTGGCTTAGAGATACAAAATTCTAGGAAAAACTGTGATTAGTCCATTTATGTTTACATTATGTGGATTTTTTAATATTTATTAAAAAAGGCTTTTCACACTCACACATCTTATTTAATGGCACTTTAAAGAATAATTTACTGAAAGGTTCTTTAGGAAACCAAAAGTGATTCTTCTGTAGCTCCAAATAACCCCTTTTAGCACCTTTATTTTCAAGTGTGCGTTTAAAAACTGAAACTCAAAGTCAAAGAACCTATGCTGCGTAATTTAGCATGAGGTTTGTGGCTTTCATGCTCTGCTAAAACTACACCTTTGATTCCAAATAATAATCTAGAAACTACATTGCATTCAATTTCACACTTCATGAGCCCTATGAATTCTCAGGTCTTTGGATGCATGTGGTGGCCTAGTTTTGGAGACACTGAGGGAGAGGATAGTGATGGTCTACATGCTGTGATGGAGGATATTAATTGTGGACCAGGTCTGATCCCCTGATGGTGATTCACCGTCTCCCAGGAACTGGAGAAGAGCCAGGTCTATGGGGCGCTTCCAGCGGGAGTCCTTCTGTAGAGCTATGCCGTAGCCTGTAGTTGCAAACACCTTCCCACTGCCAATGGTCACCAGCTTGCAGCCCTCGTCCTTGCCAGCCATGTAATTAAGCACTGCAGCATCATATATGAAGGCATCCAGTTTCCTGCAGCAAGGACAGTGACATGGCACTTGCTGATAAGCCCAAGCTAATGGTTTAATAATTACATATCATTTTGTCAAACAAATAACTGCAGTCCATTTAATTTATCTAGCTGAAGGCTGTTGATGCCGTTATTAATTCCCAGCTGCCTTTGATTATTCTACAATGAAGTTTGGAAACAACATGAGGGTCTGATACTGATGCTCCTGGATATATATTGGGGTTGGTACAAATCCAGCACTAAAAAAACACTAATAATAAGGTGTTTGATCACTTCTGAGCATTAAGTGAATCCATTCTTATATGTCAGTCTATATAGAAACTAAACCCACTGCTTAATTGCAGCCATACAGAACTGGTAAATTTGAAGCACCACCATGGTTGAAATAACAAAAATGAAAAATTTAAAAATAAGTAAAACAAGTGCTGACTAACAGGAACTAACCAAACCACAAAGATTTTTTAGTAAGCTTCACCCCTAATAGACAATATTTGTAGTATTTAAGACTCTGTGAGTTTCTGCTGTTTAAGTTTTAGTAATGTGAAAACTGAGAACTGACAATTTAACATTTCAAAAGACAATCTTATCATTCAGCAATGCACTTTTAATAAAACTTTTGGAGTCTATTTGATTTTTCACCATATGATATTACATTATGGTCAGACATTATGCCGTATTTTACTGGTTAAAGGGATTTTTAGTTCCAGTCAGAAAATTTTCATATGGGTCATGCCCTACAAAACACACCCTGTTTTGAGGCTGTTAAGTGCCTCCTCCACTCCTTTCTGGTTGTATTTCATCATGTGGGTGTGCATGTCAGGGTAATTGCTGCGAATGTTCCTCTCAGTGCTGCCGTTTGGGACTGTGCCGAAGCGAAAAGGCGGGTAATGCTCCTGGGGCTTTTGGAACTGCCGGAAAAGACAAAAAAAGAACTTTGATCAGCATGTAGTTAGATGCCTAACAGCAAGCATCACCATTTATGTTTTTCATATGTTTGATCCACGTAAGTGTGGAGCTAACCTTACCTATAGAGTGTTAATTGACAAACTGTGAAAACAATGACTTAATGGCAGGGACATATCTCTTACAGTCCAGGCAGAAAACAAATTCCCCCAGCTCTGGCCTAACCTTGTGATGCCAGTGAAGGAAATGAGCCTTAATGTACCATTCAAACAACTTGCAGTCAGCTTTGTATTTTCTTTCACACCTCATTGAGAAATGGTGTTGGATAGCTAGCAGATAATCCTTCATATTTTCCACAGTACAATATATTTCATAGTTGTAAAGGTAAAGGGATATATTTCTATTCCATGAGTGTCTACAGTGGACAGTTTGGTCATTTCCCTCCAAAGCCTCTCTAATCCTGGTGAGGAGTGTGGGATCAGTGGGTTTTCGGTGTATTGGGTTTAAGAATAGATTTTAACATTCAATCTTGGTTCATGTAAAATACTACACTAATACATCTATGTATCACTGCTGCCAAATCTATTAATCTGCCTCCCAGGGCTTATTCTGTTTTGTGTCTTTGAGCGATGAATCTGTTGTCTTCACTCCCTGGAGGTCCCTCTCTTTTCTTCTTGCATAATTTTATGGTGTTTTGTTACTTACACAGCTTTTCCCCATTTGGATTTCCACGAAGATTTTTTTCAAACACCACTGGTTCTAAAGCACATCTTGAAAGGCATTATCCAAATGTGGTGATGTGGGTGGTTGTGATTTGAATAGATGGTGGAAACCATGTACGATGTATCAAAATAATCACTCTAAGCAGAGTTCAATAAGGCACAATAAACTTTAGAGCAAGTCCTAAGCTGTGCAATCTTGACGCGTCAGTAAATTAATGCTTTGCTTACCTTTTTGTCACTAAGTCCAGAGACTGTGTCAATATACTGCTCTTGGATCATGAAGGCAGCTAAATTGGCAGTATAGCTGGCTAAGAAGATGACAGCAAAGAAGGCCCACACCAAGACCATAATCTTGCTGGTGGTGCCTTTAGGATTTTCTATAGGTACAGAGTTATTGAAGACAATCCCCCACAGGAGCCACACTGACTTCCCTATAGTGAAGGTGGGTCCCCCAGGGGCTGTAAGACAGATGAGAAAAAGTTTGGTTAATTTTTGATTAACACTTACACTCACCGAGCACTTTATTATGAACAGTATACTAATACTGGGTAGGGCCTCCTTTCGTTCTCAAAACAGCCTCAATGATTATTTTTCATTACATGGATTCCGCAAGACGTTGAGATTCTGGTCCATGTGGACATGATTGAAGCAATTCCTTTTTCAAGTGCACTTTCATGCTGCAAATCTCCCAGTCTACCACATCCCAAAGGTGTTCTGTTGGATTCAGATCCGGCAGCTGGGAAGGCCACTGAAGAACACTGAACTCACTGTCATGTTCATGAAACCAGTTTGACATGGTGGTTTATCATGCTGGAAGTAGTCTTCAGAAGATAAAGAGGAGAGAGAAGAATTAGAGGATAAATTGTGGCCATGATGGTTTGGAACAATGGTCAGGAACAATACTTAAAAAGGCTTTGGCATTCAAGCGATGGTTGATTGGTATTAACAGGACAAAAGTGTGCCAAGAAAACATTACCCACACCTTTACACCACCCCACCAGCCTGGACGCTGTTGGCACCAAATTCTAACCCTGCCATCTGTGTGCCTCAGCAGAAATGGAGATTCACCACACCAGGCTACGTTTTTCCAGTCTTCAACTGTCCAGTTTTGGTAAGCCTGTGCCCACTGCGGCCTCAGCATTATGTTCTTGGCTGACAGAAGTGGGACCTGATGTAGTCTCCTGCTGTTGTAGCCTATCCACCTCAAGGTTGGACGTGTTGTGAGATGCTTTTCTGCTCACCACAATTGTAAAGAGTGGTTATGTGTCACCGTACACTTTCTGTTAGCTCGAACCAGTCTGGCCATTCTCTCTCGACCTCTCTCATCAACAAGGTGTTTCCATCTGTAGAACTCCTGCTCTTTGGATGTTTTTTTTTCTTTACTGCACAATCCTGAGTAAACTCTAGAGACTGTTGTGTGTGAAAATCCCAGGAAATCAGCAGTTATAGAAATACTCAAACCTCCCAGCTGAGTTGGTGTACAGGTGTTCCTAATAAAGTGCTCTGTGAGTGTATGTCCAACAACTGAGTAGAAGAAAAGAAATGACAGTACAGTAACATTATTTGAATGTACTTCTTTTATAGCTATGGAGGGTAGATGTTAGAATGTGTATCTTGATTATAACAGATAATTGACTCAAAATAAATTATACACGTTTTTAAATGGTAACCAAATGGACCATTTTTTGCATGATTTATCCAGTGCAGTAACCAAAATTCTCAATTGTGATTGGTCAATTGACCTATCCCTGCTCTACACACAAATGCATTTTTTAGCAACTATTGCTACACTGTCAGAAAAAGGGTACAAACAATGTAAAAGTAACCTTAAAAGTACAACATAGTATTTAGGGTCCAATTGTGTACCATAAATGAGTTTTAAGGGTACACTACATTCACTTTCCCAGTGGAAATGTGCACATATGTAGAAAAATAAAGTAAAATACCTGGTATACAAGACTGTATGTAACAGTTTATGTAGTTTAAAAAAATGAGTACAGAATATGGTACATTGCAACAATGCTCCCTAACTGTAATGTCTGCGTGCAATTGATAGTTATGTTTTTTTGTTGTTAATTGCGTCTATTTGTTGTGTTCATATTCTATGATTGTAAAATAGCCTTGAGCATGGGAAAGATGCTGTGCAAATAAAAATGATGATGATGAGCTGATGAGCTAATGAGCTGATGAGCTGTGACGGATGTCACAACCCTTGGTGGTATCACCCCAGTGACAGTCTTTGTACCCTGAAAGTTTGGATATACTTTCCATAATGTTGGTAAAAATCCCCAACAAGGTAATGAGAAATTTTAGGGGCACTTTGTTTAGAGTCACTACATTACATTGAGTTTCCAGTTTAAAATGTTATGCTACTGAGCTGAAATATTGTTGGAGCTAATTAAAACTTGGTAGGTTGAAAATGTAGGTTGAATGATGAATTTGGCATCATGCTCATGTTAGCTTGATTACACACACCAAAAACAAATCTGCCCCATCCTCATAGTGTGGCCTTTTATACAATTAATAACTTACTTTAAATGTAGGTATTTTGACAAAAGGTGCACACTATAATTTTTCTTTATGTCAAATGGGATTTTTGTCAATTTTCTGTAAAGCTTGTCAAACCTTTTTGCTACAAAAGAACATTTACTGGCATGGATAGATAAATTCTGTTTCAACAAACTGTATTTGTTTCTTTGAGTGTAATGTGTCGAAACAACCATGTCAAGCAAACAATCTAAGTGACATTACAATGATAAACATTAATTAAACTCAGAAAAAACAGAAGAAAAGCATATGACTCAGGTTACATGAACTGATTAAGCTTTTTTCTGTCTTATTCCTGTAACACAATCTCTTTTAAATGACAAAGGCCTACTTAGCTGGACTGACCTTTCGCACTGACGAGGCTGCGGTTGTACCCGACAGGGCTGAAGTACTCAAAGACAAACACTGTGACGGCCACAACAGTCAGGCACATCACAAACATCATGACCCACACTGCTGGACTGTAAGGCTCTGCAAGCAGAGAACAGTATATGAAACCACATTTTACAGCCTCCATAAGAATACAATTAATAATCACTGATGAGGAGATCTCAGACATGATGTTATGCTTTTGCTGCCCCATTAGAGGTAGAATAATGGCCTGATTAATGTTTAGCTGTACAAACAACAGAAGAAATGGTTTCCTCTTTTTATCTGAAGAAGAAATGGGACTGGAAAATTAGCAATTTTCTGTTGGACATATTCAGAACCCAACGCTAGTATGAAACTTTAATCCATCTGCAGGCCGATCAAAACTTCTATTAGCAGTAAACTTCAGCAGCAAAAAAATGAGTGACTGCCAGAAGGGATAAAGATTGTAAATTAAACTTTCTCACCTAGAAAGGCAGACGGGGAGACAGTGCCATTGCTCCTGGCCACCATGACACTAATCCCAGTCTCCACGAATGGCACTGAAAAGTCAATGATCTCCGATCGCTCTTCATTAATAGTGAGTGAGCCAATGGCCATATCTGCACGCTTGTAGACGACCTAGGGATAATGGGAGAGAATTAGCAAAGTGATGAGTTTTATGACAGCATTGTTCATTACTGTGCTGGTTGATTTGCTCATGATTGTGGCATTCAACATGACCTACAGTTATTTACAGTACTGTGAAAAAGTCAAAGATCACCTTTCATTTATTTAACTTCCAGTTGAAAAGGCCATTGAGTACAAGCTATTGATTTCCAGTGTAAGGAAACAAAAGAAACATATAAAGGGCATATTTAACAGGAAATTACCTCAAGAAGCCTCAATGACTACATATGAAATTTCTCAGTACTTTTTCTGAGAATTTCTCAGTATATTCTTCCACACCTACAAAGTTCAGTCTTAGAAGTTGGTTGAATTTTCTGCACCATTCAAGTAATCCTAAATATACTCAATAATGTTGTGGTCTGGACTCTGAGGTGGCCAGTCCAAACTTCTTTTCATTTCCTTCTTGACAGCTCTGCGTCCTTTCAGACCCAACACCCTAAAATAGACTTGTCTTCTTACAATGGAAGGATGGACAAATACATCCATGGATTTTTCAGATTCAAAGCAAGAGTGGAGCTTGACTCCACCTCTCTCTCTAAAAGATGAGAACTTTAAGTACTGTTTATTTGATGGTGACAGTTTTGGTGGTCCACCAGGTTTGCACCAAAGTTAGGAGTCCCATTTTCTCCACATCTTTTCATGTTTTAACTCTAGTTTGGGAAGCTCCAGTTTTTTTCACTTTGATTTTCACTTTTTCTTATGCAAGCAGGTTATATTAATTCTAATTTCCTCAGAAATATCTCCTGAAAATGAATAAGTTGTTTTACTAGCCATTTGACTTAAAGTTATTAAATGAATGAAGGGTTGTCTCTGATTTTTGAAAAGCACTGTATGTCTGGTATGTGACCTAAGTATATTACATAACAGCTAGTAGATACTGGCAACTATTTCCAAAGCATGTATTAATAGTGATAAGCATGTGTCATCAGAAATCAATATGACGTGCAATTCGCATTGCTTTAGGAGAATCTTCAGACTGTAAGAAGGAAGCATTTGACATGCTATATAACAATTATGCAATACTGATTTAACCCATTTCATTAAATATTTCATTCCCAGGGTGTATAAGCATGTAACTCTGTGAGTCATGAATGTCAGCTTTCTTTAAAAAGCATCAACATGGGCGAAGACGCAGGTGATAGGAATGAAGACGCCAGCAGATGCGGAAGACACTTAACTGCCGGATCAAGTGACACTACACACGGTAGGAGTTGACAAGATGAATGTTGTCGAGATCACATTTTAAATTCAGTTCACTCTGTGAACACATCTAATGACACAAGCTGCATCTCACACAATAATTAGACGTTTCCAGCAGATTTGTGTTAAAGAAAGAAAGTAGGGTGTAAGTAAGCTCCATTAGAGGTTATTGTCACAGCAATGGTAACAGTTTTAATTTTAGCTTAACATATTCAATGCTAATTCAGTTATATTCTGATGAGGAGTTAACCTTTGGTATGTGTGCAGGGGTACACCTCTAGCCTTGAATCTCTCATACCTCTCCAATCATCCCATTCCAGATGCCTCGGACCAGCTTTCCATGTTTACCATTGGTGACCAGGTAGAGGTCGTAGGAGAACTTGATGGTGCGTGAGAGTTTCTTCAGGATATCAATGCAGAAGCCTTTGCAGCACAGCTTGGTGTAAGGCTCTGAGTGTCCGAACATGCTGCAAATAGAGGCAAGAAACACAGAGACTGTATGTTTTACCACTCTGGTGTGAAAGATCTTTCACGTTTTATAGCCTAGCCCAAAATCCTCAAGAATCACCACACACCCTCACAAAGCCACTCTGAAAAATTTAGTGATCACAATAATTAAAATGAGTGTGTATGGAAAAGACAATTCTAAGCAGGGGGCTGAGGATAGCTGACAGCCAGACATTTTAATTACTATTACCGTTTGTGCTGGTTTAAGAGGATTAGCAACTGCCACTGTGCAAAGAGGGTAAGTCTTGGTGAAAACATAAAGGACTACTACATTACCAGCTACTACATTTAAAGTCGTCTGGGTGCCAATTCGGTTTAAATGGTAATCTAACTTGCCTTCTATTAAAGATAATCTGCCCTAAAACACTATGTCAAAAAGTTTGTAGATGCCTGCTCAGTCAACATTTGTTCTGAAATCAGGGGTATAGCAGGCTTCACACTACAGGTTTGAACATTGCTATGAGGATTTGCTTACACTCGGCCACAAGAGCATCAGTGAGGACAGGTACTGATGTTGGATGATTAGGTCTGAATAACAAATGCCACTCCAACTCATCTCAAGGTACTGGATGGTGCTCCATCACTCCAGAGAATACAGATCCACTGGTTCACAGCCCAATGCTGAGGTGCTTTAAACCTCTCTGGACACCTTGCATTGGACATGGTGACTTTAGGCACATGTGCAGAGTGTCTTTTGGCAAAGCTTTCCTATGGAGATTATGCAAGCTGTGCGTGCGCAATTGAACACCTGTGTCAGCAGCGGGTGCACCTTAAATTAGTTGAATGCACTAATTAGAAGGGGACAAATGGACAAATAGTTTATATAACATTTACTATTTTACTATGATTCTTACATGTAGTTCATCTGTTGTATTCCTGTTAGTTACACTCACACATAGAGACTGGTCTGAAGGAAAAAAAAAAACAGTCTACAGTAGCTGGCTCCCTTTTCTAAACTGACTTAGAAACTAGTCCCCAGCTCTTATTGAACTTGCTTTCTTTTGTCTGTAGGCCTTCAGAGAAAAAGTTCCTGAAACAAACATCCATATCCAGTGATGGGCCCCATTTAGCCATTATGTGGTGGGAGCACTCAGCAGAGAAACTCAGGGAGAGATGATGATGCATCACCTCTAACCTCCCTCAGACCTCTGCCTAATGAGCTGTGGGGGGAGAGAGGAAGTCAGTGCGAGGTGTGCGGTTCGGGCAGCAGCCACAACAAAGAAAAACAAATGAAATGTTCGGAAAGATGAGAGTCCCTCAGTGCAATCAGCTCAGACAGAACATAAACAAGCTTGTCCCCTGCTCCCCTATCTCACCACCTGCATGCAGTGCTAGAGCTTTTAGGTTAAGTGAGCTGTGAATTGCGGCAGAGTTGTTTAATCAGTCAAGGGCATATGTGCGGCCACACACACACACACACACACAATGTCCTTATATTGTCTGATGACAGGTCAGCCCGCCATCCTCAGGAAGCACTGGCTGCTCTCCAGGGTGCTGAAGTTACACCCTCCAGTAACTTCAGCACCCATGTTCTGGACAGTTACCAAAATGCGGGCAGAGTGTGGGATTCCCCTTTTATGACAGGATCACCCCTTCAGAAGCTGCCAGCTACAAAGCTCTTGCCCAAAGAAAAGAAGGTTAAGGTGAGCAATATGGTAAAAAATATAACATCATGATACCTGAAGACATTTTCACAATACATAATACATATCATGATCTTTTTTCTGAGGTTTCTGAACAAGTAACTAGCAAAACACATTCAAAAAAGACTATGATTGCAAATTCTACATTTGCAAAAAGAGCTGTTTAAACATATATTAAAAATTAATTATTTTAATAAATAAATGAATTAACATAACCCCATAGTGGGCTCAAATTCACTTAGTCACTTGACTGTTAATATACAGTTTAAGCAGTTATTATACACTGTTTTTCATTGTTTACAGACTCAATCTATATATGTCTATTTATGATCCATGCAGTTGTTCAGAATTCTAGAAATACTGATAACACACACAATGTACTTAGAAAACCATATAGTGGCATAATTCAATCACAATAATGATAAAATACTGTAATAACATATTGCCCACCACTAAGACAAGGGACACTTAGAGTCATAGCAAGAAGGGTTATCAAAGAAAAAATAAGTTCTTTATGTCGTTTTATTATAAGACAGTTACAGAGGACACTGACAGCTAAAGGAAGACTAAAGACATCAGAACCACTGTGGACTCACTACAAGCTTCTAAGCTATTTATTCAAATATAAATGGTTCTTTTAGGGATGCTACTAGTCATAACTGTTCTGAGGTTTTCTGTTCTGCCCTCACGGCATGTATGTATGCATATATGTCTGTGAGAAAGTGGTGTTATTACAGAGTAGCATTAGGGACTGATAGGATGTCAGGATGTGATATAGACGTGCAGAAATACTCACTCTTGCCCTTGGAGAATTCACTGACGATCAATGCTTTCGCTTCTAAATAAAGTCAATCGCAGTGCATTGAGATTCATAGATCCCTGTTATCATTAGTGAGTAATTGTTGAACAAATAATCATAGTCAAAACACTGGCAGTGTGCCATGGCTTGTTCTGCATATTGAAAAAAAGTATTCTGCCTTTAAGGATGGTTTCACTGCGCCCTCAATACACAAAAACATTCCCTATACAAAGGGCAAGCATTGCTCAGGGCTGCACAGTATGGACAAAATGCAATATTGCAGTTGTATTGCCAGATATTGCAACTGCAATACACTCTACTTTGTCAAATATTACAAGCAATCTGATGTGGTTAAAAAGAAAACTTCTCTGTAAGGTTTGAGGTTGGTTAAAATGTTTACAATATACAATAAAAGATGCAGTATCAGTGTTGCAAAGGCCAATATTGCAATAACAATTAACAAACAATGAACTGTGCAGCCTCACAACAATCACACAATGAATGGTGGCAAAAAAAAATGTCCAGTTATCAAATACTTCTGTCAGGGGTCTAGGTTGAGTATGATTTCCACAGGTATAGGAATGCTGAAGAAAACAGAGAGATTCCTCCCGCTGCCAAAGGCCATCAGTGCCTGTGATTCAATTAAAAACTGTGGCCAGAGATTCCAAAACTTCCCAAACGGCAATGTCAATTAGCATGAAGGTGTGTGACAGCCCATGGCACTAACGTCATCATTACTGTTATTGATCACCATTCCCCTCTCAGCTGTCCCATCTTCCCTGAGGGGTGATTACTCCGCTCTCTGATTTATTTACACGCTCTCCCCTCAGTGTGCTATCATAATGAGCCTGTCATCTCTTCCCTCAGGGCCCAAGGTGCTCCTCACCCAATGTGCACTTCCATCTAGTGCTGCTGCACAAACCACTGAGCCTGCACTCATTTCCCACAGGGAACTAGAAGCGCTAACTTTACCAACTATTTTCATGTTTGAGTTCATGCCTGGGAGTACGCCAGTGGCAGGGGACTTCTTTATGAGAGCTGATTGAAACTAATGACTCTGCCTGTTTTTAATTGTAGTTTTATGCTCAGGGCAGGCTGAAATAAAGCTTGCATTATAGTAAGATAAACCTTAATTATTAGCTTTGGGTAAATGTAGGTCTTCAATCCAATGAGTTTTTGCTTGGCTGTAAATCACACTGGTGAATGCAGATGAGATTTATTTGTTGGAATTCACTTGAGGGCTCAGCTGGAGGAGTCAGGTTTAGAAGCTGGAGTGGCTTAAATAGTACTTCAGCTCATTTCCATGTTAAGGGAAGCTTTCTAGAATCCCTACCAAGTCCCTCTTAGGGATGTTATTACCAAGTATATTTCTGGAATAAGAAATCATTCAAATAAACTAGGACTTACAATTTTACTCCATATCAGCACCCTAATATAACAAGCACACATGACAAATAAAGAGTCCTAACATGGAAAAATGACTTTTCGTCACTTTTCGAAACAAAAGAGAAAGACGTGGTATGTAAACATTGGTCAAGTTTCAAAATTGTTCACTTTTCAGTTCATGTGGTCCATACATAGAAACTAAGCTTTTCTATTTGTTGTAAACCAACATATTTGCATGCAGTTGTATGGAAAATGTACATATTTTGTTGATCTCTGAAGTGAAAGGAAGTAAACACAACCTCTGCGGCAACCACTTTAAAAAGTAACATATCTATGCAATGCACAGTTACTCTATATTTGATGAACTCAAAAAAAAACCCTTCCAGTTGTAAAGTGTCAGAATTCAATTAACTCGTGAGGCCTTAATTGACTCGTTTGCACTGCTTAGGCAGGAGAAGAATTGTCATTAGGAGTTAAGCTGTCAGCTGATGACAATTCCAGAGCGTAATAAATTCTTTGACTCCTCAAGTTGTGCTAACATTCAGCAACCATGGGCTCCTCTAAGCAGCTGGCTGAGGACCTGAGAATAAAGCTAACGGACACTGACTTTCCTTTTATAGGAAAGCTATAAAAACTTACAATTTGCACTGTCCAAAATGTATGTAACAGGAAATGCGCAAGTCAAGTGGAGATCTGGGAAACCAAGAAAACTATCAGAAAGAACTGCTCATATGCTGGTCAGAAAGGCAAAGCTAAACAAGGCAAAAAGTTAGGAGTGGTGGTGCACAGTTCCACTTTGCAGAACTGCTTGCACAAATATGATCTGCATGGAAAAGTCATCAGAAGGAAACCTTACCTGCAAACACATCACAAAAGTTAAAACAACATCTATATGAGCCAGAGACAATTTTTTAAATAAATGCAGAGGACTGATAAAGTTAAGTTGAACTCTTTGGCTACAGTCACCAAAAGTATGTTTGGAACACCTTGCCAACTATTAAGCATGCTGTGTATCTATTATGCTTTGGAGTTGAGTTGCAGCCAGTGTGACACAAAATATTGCATGGTTAGAAGAAAAATTGGATTCCACTAAATATCAGCAAACTCTGGAAGCAAATGTGACACAACTTGCCAAGAAACTGAAGGTGAAAAGAAGCTGTCTTCTATAACAGGATAATGATCCAAAACATATCTCAAAATCCACCATCAACCACTTCAAGATATGCAGGCTGAAGCTTTTGAAATGGCCCTCACAGTGCCCTATCTTAAACATCATTGAAAATCTGGGGCTAGATATTAAACAGGCTGTGCATGCAAGACGGCTCAAGAATATCACAAAACTAGAAGTGTTCTGTGGGGAAAAGTGAGTCAAAATTCCTGAAATAAGAATGAAAGACTCCTATCTGGCTACAAAAAGTGTTCATATACTGTGATATCTGCCATAGGGGTCTTACTAAGTACTGACTTTGTAGGGAGTCCAAACTTTTGTACATATCACATTTACTATTTATTTATTTTTAGGTTAATGAAATATAAAGTAACTGTGCATTAACATTTTTACCTCTAAAGCCAACAAAAAATGTAATTTGGTAGGGGTGCCCAAACCTTTGCCTACAAGTATATATATCTGCCTATTCAGCCTACAACAGGTTAGCTCAGCCCACTCTCTTTGAAATTTTAAGATGTGAAGACATTAGAACAAGGCATAATACAGGGCTCATTTGCATATATCAGTCTTAAAGGGACAGTAACAAAATCAGCCTGTTTAATTCTTAGGGATGGAGAAAGGCTGGAAAATGGTCATGAAACCATGAGTTATGGCTGTTTGTGGCACATAAAACCACACAAATGTTGTAAGTGGATGGAAAAATAAAATACTTAGAAAAAAAGCTTAGGGTAAAATGTAGGATATGGGTTTTTTAATAATTCTAACACAACTTTCACATCTTGCTTCAAACCATTTAGTAAAAGGATAGTCTATTGGAAGTTAAGCAAAAATTATTTGACTCAGCTAGTGCTAGAATGCCTAAAATTATGTTAAATATTCCCTGTTAATAAGCCTTTGCATTCTACCATGTCTTTATCTGCTGAACTAGCTGGACAGATGCATTTTTTTGTTGTTTTTACTCAACACTGGTTTTGAAATGAAGCAGTTGACTGGATATACTTATGATGAACTATATGGTAATCACATCCCAATTATAGCCTTAAAATTGTCATATTTAGTACTTGTTTGAAAAACTGAAGTCTGTGACCTATAGACATCACCAGATGGTGGGTGTGTTCCCTGATGATGTTGCGCCAGATCTGTAATGCAGCCAGTTCTCAGTTTCAGAGGCAACAAACTCCAGATGCAAATGCCACATCTAGCATAAATATTTCTAGCAATTACTTTTGGGAGAACTATAAATAAAAGGGATGTTATTTCTACATAGTTCATCCAATGAGGATGAACATACACTTACATTTGAACTAGTCTTTATTTTATTTCAAATCCAATTTAATGGAGTACTGTCAGATACCCATGGACTGCATTGTATATTTCCTATATTAATGACATGTAACATTACAATGTTGTAATATAAAGCCGGGATAGTCCAGTTTACTAAAGTTAGAAAGGGTTTTCTGTGTGTGTATGTGTGTTTGTCAGATATATATGTATGTGTGTGTGTGTATTGACTGAAAAGGTTACTGTTTCTTGTGCACATAATTTATGTCTAGCCTTTAGGCCCATTGTGTCTGTAATCCATTCACGAGACACTTTGAATGCTTTCTGCATAAGGTAAATAGGGCACCATTTATTATTGGGATCACTGACGTCTACATGAAAGCTCATATTGTGTCATAAGACAAAATAGGTATGCTACATAATCTAAATTTTAGTTGCAAAGTAACTCACTCACTCACTCACTCACTCACTCACATTTAACAGACTGAAGATTCTACACAAGTGAGAGCTATTAGTACTCAAGTCACTCTCGCATGCCCCACTGAAAGACAGGAAACTGGAACAGCACAAATCTGCACAAGTAGCCTCTCACAAATGTGTGCAATATATGTTCGCAGTCACAGACTGCATGTGTATGAAAGAAAAGGAAAAAGGGGTTCTTCTACTGATACAAGCTTAACATCATAACAATAGCAGAACCCTTTTTGGTGCTACATAGAACCCTTTTCAAACAGGTTCTACATAGAACCATCTACAGCACATTCTCCATCTGAAGAACACTTTCACAATGCAAAGGTTTCTGTAATCATTCAAAGGGTTCTTTAAATGTTTATGGTTCTATACAGCACCATTTTATTTACTAAAGAACTCATGAAGAACAATACATTTTAAGTGTGTATGCAAGTATGCAAATGCAAGGTACATTCATTAATGCTGCTGTTGCAGTACAACAACTGTTTACTGATATTGGAAACATTTGCTCAGAGTAATACTTGCATACATAGTAACAATAACACCAGGCTGTGGAAATGACCACAGGCATAAAAGCACCAGGGGAGCTATGTAAGAGTGGTGCTTCACACTAGCGATACTGTGTTTCCTTGTTAATGGTATATTTTTATGCTTGAAATTGTCATGCTCTCTGCTTGAGGAACCATTTTCTCACAGTGCTCACAGAGCTGTCTGAGTCATACTAAGATATATGCTTACACAGAGAGCAGTGAACAGAATTAATCACTGTATATAAATGATTCTGAAAAAGCAGACAATATGTTTTCAAACCTTAACACTCCATCTTAAAGTTTTAGGAAGATCTGTTTGATTATTTTTCATCGAAGTCTGGATATACTTTAATTATAAAAATTAAGGACGTACTTATCTGGTTTAATTGTGATGTTGTCCCTGTCAATTTTATTTTGAATCTTTCTTGGAAAATAGCCTACACAAATATACTCACATACAGTCACATGCAAAAGGTTGAACACTCACACGCTAATTACATGTCGACAATACATTTCCTTTATTGCAAATGTTCATTATATGCCAACAATAAAAAAGGACTTACACTTCTGTCCTGTTGGCTTGGCGGCGGCAGGGCACAGTGTTTCTCACACACGTGCCTGTGGCAGGGTCCACGCTCTCCACAATGACGAAGGGCCGCTCCTCCAATGTGGCCACGGTCAGGTGACGATTATCAGACACAGGCTCCAGATAACTACTGTAGCGTGGCCACACCGGATAGCGCATGTGCAGAATCCCCCCTTCATAGGTCCCCACCTGGAGAGCAACACAGCGAGAATAAGAGGCTACAATGGAGGCTTTACACCCCCCAGGGATGCCACTTTGAAACAGAGAGAGGGGACAACAAACACAACACTGAAATCCTGCAGGTGAGTGGCAGTGGTAATAAAGAAAAGACATCCAGTAATTCAATCGAGCGTTTATTCCCCACAGGTTGTGAGCATCAGTTCCAGCCTGAATAAATCATTTGCTCTTCAATATGTTACAATCCAGTAGTGGCATTCTGTCAGATATGGTATGATGCATAACTTGCGATAAAATATTCCAAAGCTCTTGTTGTTGCTGACCCTGAAGCTGTGAAAGCATTCTTTGACTGAAATAAATCTCACTAATCTCTGACACAGGAAGATTTAAATCTGGGCTTTCCCTGTAAGAGGCTGTGAGGTGACCCTAGCTAGTCAGAAAGTTGAATAGGTAAAGAAATACGCCAGCGTTTTTTAGCCCCACTTACAGCGGAAGCCAATGTGCAGGTGCTGAAACTTCTGTCATAAATGTATTTAGAGTCAATGGGTTATTTTGCTAGGAACATAGAATCAGACTGAATTTGTGGTCTGTGCCAGTGATGGACAAAGCACACCAGTTGTGTACTCCAGTGAAAGTAGACGCCTTTTGTAAAATATTCCTCCAGTAAAAGTAGAAGTCCTCTTTTTACATTTGTACTTGAGTTACAGTACAAAAGTACTTGCTTTTAAAAGTATCAAAAGTAAAAGTACTGTGTGGTGTTCCAGCTGTCATAGTTACTATAGTCGTCAGTGCTGTTTAATCCACATCCTTTCTTGTGTCTGTGATTTGGGCAATATCACTCCCACATTGAAATGCTTGCATATTAGGTATCTGACCTACAAATACCCCACACAGTGTTGCAGTCTATTATCAAAATCTGAAAGCTTGTCAGAGGTGCCTGGGTGTAGTTACAGCTGATAAGCTATAGTTGGACAATTGGTATTTAGGGGAGGGGTTTATCACTAAGATTGGTTTGTTCCAATTTGAATCATATATCATCATATTCTTTTGGATATTTTAGCAAGTCCAGCTTTCTCTCTCGTCAGAGTAACGAGTGAGGAGCAGTATATTCTAATGTGAAATGTGGCAAAGTGAAAGTAATAAAGTACAGATACTTAAAATAAGTGCTAAAGTACACTAATTAAGTACTTTGTTACTGTCCACCACTGGTCTGTGGTAGGCCTAACTGACAATGTGCTACAGATGTGGAATTCCACATCTTGTCCTCCTGGAGCCTGTTTACTGAGACGGAAAAGAGAGAGAGACATAGACAGAGAGAGACATAGACAGAGAGAAATACTCTATTATCTAGAGAGTAAACAGCCAGTCCAGGCCAGTTTTAAAAGCCCGTTGAGAGGCTGTTACAACACAGCCTTCACATACACTTCCCAGGCATCCATCCCATCACAGCCACAGCTTCAGGTCCACAGGGACATTCAGAGCCAGCGCTCCATGAACAAGCTTCTTTTATATGCTCATTTAAGTCTGAATACAATATAATTTACTGTGCTTGGATAATGAATTGCTGCATGCGCTGTCCAGTCCATTAGCCAAGTATTAACAGCTGGTTGGTTCTTGAATGTGATGTATTACAAGCCTTATAAATGAACAAATGGCTGAACATCTGGATTCCTGCTCAAAAACCGATATGTGTTTTGGTGCACATGCAATATCCAATTATTGTCACTGGGATTCAACTTAAATTTTATGTATAAACTTAGATCATGTTCTCTATTTCTCTAATCTACTTGTGCTAGATAATCTACCCACTGTAACAGGCATTTTAAGCAGTCGGTATATGTACTCTGTTAACGCCTTTCTATGTTTCAGCCAATTATGCGTCTTACATTGTACAGCTGAGCTCAATGCGGAGGAGGAAAGGTTATTCAGATTGGAGATCAGTCTCTGTCGTTGTAATCCATATTTGTTTATGGTATTAGCAGTGAGGACTAGCGAGCATGATAAGCCTCAGGAACAGGGATTTATTCAGGTATCATTCATAAACATCAGCAGAGCAAACAGATCCAATCTTTTGGCTTTCAGGTGTGGGTAATGAGACAGGCCTACAGTATGACAATATTGGCTGTCATTTGAACCGTTCATAATTGTCACCAGGTGAATGGACATCGTAGGAATTAGACACCAGAGAATTCTTGTTACATACAAATATTCAGTTAAAGCAGACAGATGTGATTTAAATTGGACTGTGTTATGGTTGTTATTCGCAAGATGACTCCAGAGGTGCGATGTAGCAATGAAGTAATGTAATATTTTATTCATGCCATTTGGGAGAGCAGTTTTTGATGGAGACTGAAACAGGTATTTTTTTGCAGCGAATGGTAGAGTGAAAGTCATTTATCTAACAGAATAGTCTGATAATGCTCTGAATGATAAATCTACTCCCTTCATAAGAAATAGATGCAATTTACATTTGTCTTTTTTGTCTGCAGTTTCTTCAGAAAGACTTAGGGCAGCGCTTGTTTTTTTTTCAGTAGAACATTTTCAGTGAAACATTTTCGGTGGAGACGGCTGCAAATGTCTAAGAAGAACAAGCTCATTGTTCAGACTTGCAATGTCATCTCAAGTAGCATGTCACTTAGTAACTTAGATCTTAATACAGCGTACACTCATAAAAAGGGGCTCTTCTGGGCTTTCCTACAGGCAATGGTTATATATAGATGACAACTTCAAGAAATATGTTTAAATGGTTCTTTGCAGGTTTTGGTAATTTTGTACCATTTCTGTTAGTCCAATCGTCTTTAAATTTTAACACAGTATAAAGGGCACTTGCCATCTTAAAAGTATTTAGTAAATAATTTAATGAAAAAATTACGAGTTTGGAAATAAAGAATTACACTCTTTACTCTTCTGAGGAGGCTTTATCCTGGATGTTGTTATATTGCTGTGAGGATTTGATTGCATTCAGCTACAGGAGTATTAGCGAAGTCAGTTACTAATTTTGGATGATTAGTTCTGGATCACAAACATCACTCCAACTCATCCTAAAGGTGTTCAATAGTGCTCCATCACTTCAGAGTATGCAGTTCCACTGTTCCACAGCCTAATGCTGAGGAGCTTTACACCCGTCTAGTTGATGCTTGGCACTGAGCATGATGCAAATTGGGTTCACGTGCAGCTGCTCCAAAGCAATTCCATTCAGTTGGCAGTGCTTTTCTAAGGAGATTATACAAGCTGTGCATGTGCAAACTTGTGTCAGCAATAAGTTTCCCTCAAAATCACTGAATTCACTAATTTGAAAAAGTGGATACTGACTTATACATAAAATTACAATTACTACAGACGTTTTACGGAGTGCTATACATAAAACATCTGACAATGTCATGAAAATTGGTATCAAAATAAAAAAAAAGATAAAATCAATATGGACCATGCAAAATAAAGAATACATATTTTTGTAGAACATAAAGATTCTTTTTGAGAACCTGTTATATATGGTTCTTTAAAGAACCTTTTGAAAATAACACAAAAAATGTAACTATTGTTACAATCATTACTAATGTTTGATACTGTATAGAGTTCTGTGCAGAAGTCAAGAGACCACTCTTCATTTATTTAATTTCCAGTCAAAACAGCCATTAAGTACAGTTTTTTTTTGAGCATCAAGAAAAAAGAAAATATATATTTAAAAGAATATTAAAAAGAAGCCTCAACGACTATATAAAATTTCACATTTTTCAGTATTTAGTGTGTCCACCATTTACCTTACAGCTTTCATTCTTTTTTAGAAGAAAATTTATCAAAAAAATCTGCAGAGATAAAAGTTCAGTCTTCTCATGATTTAGGTAATCCCTAACACTTTCATTGATGTTGGTGTCTGGAGGTCAGGAGCATGAATGGTCAGCCCATTGTTCTGTGAACAACAGCAGCTTCTTCTTTTTTGTTTATTTCCTTTTCTCATGAACAGCTTCTTGACCGCTACACATCCTTTCATATCCATAGCACTGAGATGTCTTCTCACAGTAGAACGATGGACAGAAACACCTGTGGATTTTTTCAGATTAGCTTTAAGTACTTTTTATCTGATGGTGGCAGTCTTGGTGGTCTACCAGGTCTTGCATGTCTCTTTTTCTTTGCATGCTTTAATAATATTTGAACTGGAAAGCCTGTTTTTTTTTTATTTCCCTTTCTTATTTGCATCATTTTGATTGGGAACTAAATAAATGAGGAGTGGTCTCTGACATTGTCACATTAGTTCAGAACATTTTTTGTTAAGAGGGTAAGAGTGCTGTTGTAATTCTCTCTTTTTTTTGTATCTCCTGCACTCTGGTCCATGTTTTCTTTTGTCTGGCAGGTTGCCCTCCATAGTGCTTAGGCACTCTCTGGGCACTCCCTTGGAACTACAAAGAAGAGCAGATTCTAAGATATGGGCATGCCTGTGCTTTAAAATAGTGCTGCAGTGATTCATTCCACTCAGATGAGCAGGGCCCCAGCAGCATGAGGCAGAGAGGTGGCACTGAGAGTGTCAATGGGGAACTAAAGGAGACAGTGGGGGGGCAAACTGATAAAGATAAGCTGTTATGTCACACAGGGGACCAGGGAGAAGGTGGCCAGAGGCAAGAGATATGATTTTTTTCTGTGATAATCCTACATTGATGATCTATGAAGCATTTACAGCATGTCTTTGTGGTCTCTGGGTAACAGCGTGCTCATTCTCATTATTTTATCTCCTCATCCATCTCAAGGAGGATGTGATTGACCACATTCTTTGGCTTTTTCTCTATTTATACCCACATCTGGTCCCACGGTCAGGCAGTGTTAGCACATTGCCAGCCTCTCTCCACATGTCTCCATCTGAGGAAACCATGGCCCTGAGGGCCTGGCTAAGTGAGGACAAAGGGATTGTTTTAGAGAGCAAACTGTAATTGCATCATCTACTGTTGTTGACAGAGACAAATTATCTGTTTGAGAAGTATAAGAATTCCCACATTGGTCATTTCTGCTGTTTGTTCATGTGCCTTTGTGTTAACTCCATTTTGTGCCCTTGAAATGATCTCTACTGAAAAGCATCCAACGTGTAACATAGAAGTATTTGACGACAAAAGGTAAAAGATATTCTAGCTATTAAATTAATAGTCCATAAAACAGTGACTAGATTGTGAGTTTCAATAATTCTATGACTGCAATTGGAGTTGTGCAGATAAAATTGGAAGGACATGTGGAGGTTATAGGACTTATTCAAGAGGTTCTGAAATTTATGATCCAGAAAACGATTATTTATCACATGTAAGAAATCCTCAGTCCATGTAGAATGCACTGAAATCTGCCCTATTTCAATGTCATTCAGTATCAGAGGGTCAGAACCTCAGTCAACATTAATTTACTATGCAGGATGTTTGTCTACACTACAACTGAGATGGAATGTAGTGATGCAGTAATCTGAACCGTTTAGCAGTTTGCAATGCACTGATTTAATAAATACTTTTTTGCGCATTATCAATTTAAATAAATAAGTGTGTCAGCTGCCACTTGCTCTGGTACTGAGAAAGGGGCTTTGGAGCATGGCAAAGCTGTGTTGGTAACTCAGCGCCCCCCTCCAAAGAGACATTTGTTTATGTTGTCTGTGAGTTTAAGGTGTGTTTATGTGTTTAGTTGTGTGTTACTGTGTCAGAGTGTGGGGTTAATGAGCTTGGGTGTCTACTATAGGGAGGAATCCTATGGCTAAAGGTTACCTTCCATCAGTTCTGACCATGTTTTCCAGTGGCGTTTCTCCCTCTTCTAATAAAAGAGCATTTTCTGAGCAGAAACTATGCTTTCCTCTGATTCTACTTTGCTCTGATGCTACAACAGCATAACATCTATTGTTTTGTGAGTGTTCAGCATTCTGAGAATGTACGGTTAATGTGCCTCTCTTAAAACAGTGAAAGCCCTGACCTACTTGGCATCCTAGATGAAACTGTATTTGCTGCCCATCTTCCACCCATCCCCTTAGAATCTAACTACATAGATACAGCTATTGGGTATATGGACCATTCTACTGAATTAGCTCAAACTGCAGCCCCACAGTAAAAAACGATTTAAAAAACAATTTAAACAGATACAAAATCATAATTTATAAGGTACATTCTTTTGGGAGGTGACTGTGCCACACCATAACCCCTAAATTTCAAGTTGGGAAAATAATTGCATTGTTTTATTTAATTAAGGCATAAGGTCATTATAAGCAATTGGATTTTAGTCTAATGTCCAAGTCATTTAAAAGTCCAAAATGTGTTTTCAGTTCTATCTTTGGACCAGTTAGGTAGAATGATCCACATAGTAGAGCTAAATAGAGCTAAATACTACAGTGAAACTAACATTATGTATTGCTTCATAACAAAAACTGAAACCACCCCTAACTGTCTTCAATTTTGTTTATGTATATATGTGTTTATAATGTGAAGATGTGTCTCTACAAACAAAGATCTGATTTGTCCAGTCTACAGTCGTTTCTAAGTTACTTTATGGATATAAAAATCTAGACAATAAAAAAAAAGCAGAACAGGATAAACATTAATGTGAACACTGATGCTGACGAAGACTTTTGAGAGTACCTTGAATGGCAAAGAAAATAAAAAATGGATTCCTGAACAAGCTCTGATTTTGAGCATATTATGAGGAGAACAAACTAATTGGAAAATACAATTATGTTTAGAACAGCTGAAGGTAAAAGAGGAGGAAACCTAAAGACCCAAACAGAAGACAAGACATTCTGGTGAAACACTAGCTATATGGTCAGGATTCAGAACCACCTTGACAGCACTAAGTAATAATTATATGTATATAAATAGTTGAATAATGCCTACTTACTTGTGGGATATTCTTTATTTGGGTATATAACATGCAGCAAAAAAGCAATGCATGCTTTTGCTTAAATCATTACTGAATTTAATTTCTGCCTACTTTTTCTCTTTCATGTGAGTTTGGAAGGTGTTTGGAAGGTACTTGGGAGGGAGGGCAGGGGACAGCATTTGATTCCCAAGTTGAATACCACTATTCCCAATTCTCACGTAAAGTTACTGCCTATGTCATCTATGTCAGTGACCCACTACTGGGTTGAAGAAATGTTTTTACCTTGTCCCAGTGTCTTTCCCGATCCAAAGCAATGATCACCATGGAGGGGTTTGTGAGATAGCCATCGTAATTGAAGGAGAGGTCTCTGTGGTCCCATGTCACATTCAGCATATGTCTATAAAATAACCAGACAGGTAGCAAAAGCTCTGTTAAAGCCTCAGGTCTTTCCAGGCAAACAGGGCTCTTCAAAGAAATTCATGCTCTCTTTGATTTATTTCTTATCCTTCAAGCTGCAGATGAATAGCTCCTGTGCAAACAGCAGGACCCATAAAGAGTTATACAATGGCCTACGTTTTATAGCACTCATTAGGAGTGAACATATAACCACACTGAATAAGAATGAAGCTTAAGGGACAGAGGGAATGTAAAGTTTTACTAAGGTACATTAGAATATATTATACTCATAACCATGCTCCTTTACCTGAGGCATGGATTAAAGGGCACTGTGCTGTACACATTGTATGAAAAACCAATGTGTGAGTGGTAGGAGATCCGCAGTCAGAGAACTTGTCCATGAACAGTGTATCCCAGCTGATACTATTTTGGTCATTGAGAAGTGAGACCATCCCTTCAAATGTCTAATTTTAAGTCACTTCGGCTGAAATGACTTAATAATTATAAACTGTCAAATGTGCTGTTTTACACATACAGCCCAGAAGTCTAGGAACATTACGGATGGAAAGCCAGTCACTCATGTGTCTCTGAAATGCTTGATCACAGAAAGTCTGGGGAAGCAACTGGAACAGTCTTTAATGAGGCCGGCTGCTCCCAGGTGAAAAGCCGATTTAACCAGGAAATCTGGAGAATCTCCGAATCTCATTATAAAGGGGAAAGACTGACCGAAAAAAAAAAAAAGCACAAGAGCTTTGCAAGCACTAGAGTGTTTTGCCTTGTGGACGATAAAATGAAAAATCCTTTCCGGATGCACTCACATCAGATAGCAAAAAGAAATGTATGAATTTAATTTCACATGCACTACCTTCACTTAAACTTCTCTCTTTCTCTATGGGTCTCTCATATGATTTAATGGCATGTAAAAAGTCATGGAGGGGTGATAGTGATGTAGGCCAAAGGAGGACTACGTTTATGACTTCATAAAATATTTCTAGGAACCTGATTGCTCCAGTTAAGTAATTCCTGCAGTAGTATGGAAGCAGCATATGCACAGATTACAACTGTGTACAGTCAGTACCTCAGTGCTTCGCTCCTTAGAACCTCCCATTTTATAAGCCTCTCATTCTTTAAACCAGGTGAAAAAGCACAGCTATTAAGAGGTCATATCCATAACAAGTAAATTAGCTGTGTTTGAGGAAAATGTCTGGCACTTGACCTACATGCTTAACACAAATGTTCATTCATAGATCCTGTTGCTAGATTGGACAGGCTTGACAGAATATTGACAAAAAACCCCATTCAAGTCCATAACTCAATAACACAAAATTAACGTAATTTGTCAAAATACCTCATTTTAGAGTGTGCTATTAATTTCAAATTATATTTTTTTATGCGTGTCCCACTGTTAAGATGAAGTTGCATTTGTGGGCAGAGTTTGGATAGGTCAAATACTTCAATGTATGAAATCTACAGGAAAGCTTGAAATCTTACCTAAAAACTGAATTACTGCCATTGGATTTTGATGAACTGTTGCAGTTATTATGCCCCTCAGGAACATATCCTCTGTGCTTGTGGTAACCGTACACCCCTTTCACCACCACGGCCACACCTTCCCGCACCCTCTGACGCAGTGTTTTCCTCCAGCGGTCTGAAATGATGCTGATGACTCCAATAGGGAAGCTGTCAGGTGGTGTGGCCTCTGGGTTTCCAACCGCCAGGCTGGGAATGACCCAAACATAGCCAGGCCCCAAGAGCCCAACATCAGATGCCATGCTGAACAGATACTGAGCCTCCTCGTGTGAACAGTACACTAGATACACCTGAGCATCCACCTGCTGAAGCAGTCTGCGTGAACGGATGTCATTGGCACCCACTGACATCTCAAAGCTTAGCACCTCCTGTAGCTCCCATAGGAAGTAGCTGGTGTCTGTGAAAGAGCGAATGTAGTCCACAAAGTCTTCATAACCTGGATACAGGCTGGTAATCACAACAAAGCTGCTCCAGTTGTATTCCTCCAGCACTTTGAACATAACGTTGATCTGCTGCTCAATGGACGCACCCATCTGGAGGAAGGTAGAACCATCAGCCTAATGGAAAAATGGTAAGAACGAAATACAAATAGAAGTTGTTAGATTCTGTATATGACTGGACACAGTGTCATGGGGATTTTAATCAAAGTTCCAAGCTCTACATATTTTGCATATCATTATGCAGTATTCTCTGAAAGAAAAAAAAGATCCTCAAGGGCTCTTTAGACAATGATTATATTCAGGACCAGGACTCAAAAAACCATATGAGTGCTTAAATGGGTCTGCCTGATTAAATGGTTTGTGGAGAACCTCTTTATGTTTTTTTTTGATTATCTTTTGAAAAATAGGTCCCACTATTGTCATAGAACATTGTTAGTACTATGCAGTACCTCTTCTTGCTAAGGGTATAACTATACAGTAAGATGCTTACTGTCGATCAACAATTAATTTACCTAACGAAATTAGTTATGCTGTATTCTGAATTATGGATGCCTCCGTAAGCAGGCGTCTAAGCACCACTCATGACAGATAATTATTCTCAAAATCACTGGGCTGTCTAAAATGAGTTCTGTCTACCTAAGAGAGGCCCAGATAAAGCCATCTCTAAGACGTGAGCTGCATCAACATCACCATCCTCACAGGAGCGGATATAAAATACAAATTTATACTGTGCTGGAGAGAATTATTTAAATATTTGAACTGTGTGAAGTTTCATTTAAGCACTTGTTCACTTCAGCAGGTATATTTCAAAACAGCAGTGAAATTAGTTCCTTTGAGAGGAACGACATTTTCAGCAATAATGCAATTACTTTATTTTACTATATTCATTTTCTGGGGTTTTATGCATATGTAGTGGGGGTCTATTATAAACCAGTCACAGTGTATTCTCGTATCACTATGAACAATTAACCTTGAACACCTCTCCAAGTGTGGAACATGAGGACTAGATTCACAATACGAAGATAAATTGCCGGAGTATTGATCTTATCTGTACCATCGCCACAAGTAGGTGCTGTGATTTATTACCCAGCTTTCGACCATTTTTCTTTTGCCTGTAATCCTTCTGAATAGGTTTACAGTTTGCTCTCAATAGCTGTTTGACAGTGCAACTGTGGAATATCATATACTTAGATGTGTGCTCAGTCAAATCTGTACACAAATCATACCAATACATGAACATCTGACCCCTTTATTTAGATATTAATCTTATGACACATTATTCAGCTATGAATTATACAGCAACTACTTTGAAATGTGTAGTTTGTGTAGTTAAGAGAGTGAGCCTTCATGGTTTAAGGGATTAATTATATCTATTTGATATTTTTAAATTTGCAGCGCACGTTCAAAAATAAAACTGTCAAAAGGGTTATTTGAAGCAATTCTGCAAAATAACCACTTTTGATTCCCTGAAGAACCTTTTAGTGGATGGTTCCTTAAAAAACATGGTTTGTAAGGACCTCCCAATGATGCAAATTTTCTGTTCAAATGAAAGGTTTTTCTTGAACTATACGACTAAATCAATAACCTTTGGAGAACCTTTATTTTTAAGAGTGTGATGGTAATGTTAAATTATGATTCATAAGACGGTGTCCCCCTGCCCTATCCTGCCAACAGCAGCACTTGTCTTCACAGTGCAGTGCAAGGTGGCTGAAAATGCAGAAGGGAGATTGAGGTGCCTAATTAAGCTCCGACATGAGGAAAATAGGTGGAGAGGTGGAGAGTGTCAGGGGCTTGGAGACACTTTCCCAAGACTCCTCCCTGACAGGAGCCTGCTTGCACCCTGATAGGCTGATCCAGTGTCCTTCAGATAACTTCTGCGGCTTAACTAAAGTAGGCAAGCCGTGAGAAACAGAAGGGCTTGGAATGTCGGGAGCTCTGGGACCCACTGTTTTTTTTTTCCAGTGCAACTTTTCCTCCTTGCAGGAAACAAAGAAAAAGATCACCCAGGCTCAGACTGACATTCAGAGGGCGCCAATTAGTTGAAATGGATGTACGAAACCCATGTGACTACCAAGACCGAGATGCTTCTTCAGCAGTCATTCTCACTAACCATTTGAGAATTAGAAGCACTATTTTAAATTCTAACAATGCCCCTTGTTGTCAGGCTTCGATTAAAAAAAAGAAAATCCCATACCAGATGTTTTTTGAATCCCGGAGCATTCCTTTTGAGGCCAACAGGAGGTTTTTCAGAATGACCATAATCTGAAACAGTTTATATGCTGGCATGGGACTGCCATGTGTAGGATACATTAGTGACTACTGTTTTGCTTCAGTGCTGAATAAAGAGCAGATTTTGACATAAAGGAACAGACTGTGCTGCAGTTAGGGGCAGTTTCTGACCCCATCCACTGGCTGGCTTTAATAAATGAATTGAATATTAGTGGTAATCTACATGCTATGCATTTCTCGTAGGAGATTACAGGACTTCATTGTCTAATCCTCAATCTGGCAGGGAGGTTTACTAGAGCCCTGTGAAAGCTGCATTTATACGTATTGTATGACAACACGAGTCCTCAATGTGTACAGCTTTTAATTTGATAAAAGAGTAATTTTCTAAGCAATCAGTCAGTTTAGTTAGCTAAATGAATTTCCCAATCTGTATCTTATATTTAAAATATCACAACTTTCAGGCTAAAATTTGGATTTAAATAATAAGTAGGCAAAAAAGATCATGTAGCTTTGCACAGCCTATATTTCATGTTTTTTTCTTTTCACTGTGACCAATGAAAAACAATCTCTAGCCTGTTTGCAATAAATGGATATTTTCCTAGGGCAATCACATTTACAGAGTTATTACCACATAGAGCAAATAATTGCATATCAAATCCTGCACCTCCTGTACCTTCCTGCAGTGAAAAATCCAAGGCTCAACTACGTAACAAGTACATAGATGTCTAGAACAAAAGCTTCTTTTTCTGAGACATCGGTATTGATTGAAAGACGAACAGAAAGTGAAATTAGCCCTGTCGGTAACTTTTCACATTTTAGAACACAGTTAGTGCCCTTACTCCTTATTTGTCAGCGTATCTTTCCACAAATATCCTGATACTGAAGATGTAAGCATATTCTGTGGCTGTCTGCTCCAACTTTTCATGCTTCATTCAGTCTTATCTCCCATCATTCACATGTACAGAGGGAGCTTGAAAAAGGTTTAAAAAATGATGGCTGGGCAGGAAACTGCTCTCTTCTCCATCCACTACTGAAGATACTCATCTGTCCTACTGAATCTATTGCCATTGTGTTTCTCATTTAGAGATATACATCTCTCTTCATTCTATTTGCATAACATGCCATGATTTCCCCCAGTACCTGACTCCTTTTACAGTCTCCCTGTACAGTTTCTATAAAGTGTGCAAGGAGAGTGCACACACAGATGCATACATCACAAATGTATGATGAACAGTCTGAATAAGCGTATACATTCATTAAATTTACAAAGTAAAACAAAGCATTTTGAAATCATTTGCACAGTTTTGCATATTAAGAGACTATTTCAGGCATATTCCCGTGTTAATTAAAAAGTCCATTCTTAATTTATTTACTTTCCAAATAGACATTTACTACAAGTTCAGGAGATATTTCTGAGAAGATTAGATATAAGATAATCCACTTGCATAAGGAAAGGAATGTCAAAAGAAAATTAGTGAAAAACAGGAGCTTCCAAAACTGGAGTCCAAAAAGTTATTAGAAGATACAGAGAAAATGGAATTCCTAATAACCACTCAAGACCTTATAGACCACCAAAACTGTCACCATCAGATAAACAGTACTTCTTTCAGCTTTCATCTTTGAGAGACAAGCTCCACTCTTGCTTCAGATCTGACAAAATCCACAAGTGTTTCTCTTCATGCACTGTGAGAAGACAACTAAACACTATGGGTCTAAAGAGATGTGTTGCAGTCAAGAAGCTAATGCTGAGAAAAGGAAACAGACACAAAAGATGAACATTTTGCAAATCAAACAAAAGAAGCTACTGATGTTCTCAGAACAACTGACTGACCGGGCCAGAGTCCAGACTGCATATCTCCCAAAAAGAATGAGAGCTGTAATAAAAGCAAAGGGTGGACACACTAATCACTGGGAAAAAATCTATTTAGTTGTGGAGTGGAAATTAAATATATGAAGGGAGCTTCATTCGCACAGTACTGTCCACACACACACACACACACACACACACAAAGCCGCTTATCCTTCTGGGTTGTGGGGGGAGCTGGAGCCCATCCCAGCAGTCACAGGGCTCCAAACACACTCACATATACATATATATGTATATGTGGACCATTTTATGGAAATAGTTCAAACTGTGTCTCCATAATAAGAAAACTATTTATAAACAACTAAGTATTCAGACACTGGATATTACAGGCATTAATTTATGACTGATTTAAGCCCAAGGCATTAATAGAGATAATAGTAATAAGCAAAATATATAAAAAAAATCCTCACTCATAGGGGCTCAAACTCTAACCTCATAAATTTCAACTTGTAAAAGTTATTAAACCTTTATTTTAATAAAATAAACATAATTAAAGTATAAGGTCATTCAAAGCAAAAAAATGTCTAAAGTCTTAGTCATTTTATATATGGATCATTCTACCAAATTGGTTCAAAGAAATTTGCTTGGCACTGGTCATTCTACAGACTCAGATTACACTCTACTGTTGGACTTAGCCTTTACCTTATGTCTGGTATGTATTTGTGTTAATAACAGATTTTTATGATAATTATTTTAAAAGTGAGGTTTAGCAACACGTTAAGTAATTCTAGATCATAAACATGTTGATTGTACTTGATCTGATGTCGTTTTGCTCAGAGCGATCCCATCACTTGTAAGCATTGGGTAAATACATAAATGTAAATATTACTGCTCTCAGACACTCCTTACGGCTATTATCAACTTCCTTATTTAAATGTTGAAGGTTTGCTTAGATCCAACTGTTGGAACCTTTTGTATTTGACAAATACAGCGTCATGTAATTTAGATATTTAAGTAGTCAGCAACATGCAGAAATGTCTTTCGATTAATCATGAAAACTCATATCACAATACTCATGTATTTGTTTACAAGTAGACCTTGGCCACTCCAACATGCCACATGTGCAGACATATTGCCTTATAATGAGAATAACATACAATGCAGCATCTATGTATGTATATCAATGTTAAGAAACAACATATGCTCTTTCATTTTCCTCTTTTAACAGTGGGCTCTAGAAGTCACTCTTCAGGATTTTCAATGTCATCACACATCAGTGGGGACACTCATCATGTTTCCTTTGTGTGGCAGTTGCATCCATTGAACACCGCAATATTATGTTGTTTCAGCCCCTTTTCGGTACATTTCTTCACCTCAATCAATCACCAGCAGAAAGTGGGACACAGACCTCTTGGGTGTTTATGATATTCATCATAATACCTATTGATTCAAAGACCTCACAAATCTCAACAGTTATATTTGGACTTTGACTATTTCTCAGACACGCTGGGAAAATGGCACTGCAAAAACGTAGATAACATTGATTAGGTCTAGACTCAATGTTTCAAATCTCAATGTGTGGAGTTGCATTCTAATTATTCCAAGTTTCTGCAAACTTGTCTGTTTAAGATTCAGATCAGCTTCAAAATGTTTTCTGATTATGTATATAGTTCTTCTGTTTTGGGGAACAAATTCAGAATGTGTCCCTATAAGGTTATACTCTTGCTGGCTTTTATAGCATGTCGCCAAACAAGGAAGTGACAGCTGTTAGGGAAATGTGGCAGATATAATGTTTCAGCTGCCTGACAAAAATACACAAATCCTGATAGGAACAGTGACTTAGAGTCTACATATTCAACAGAGAAACAAAGTGTTTTCTTATATAGCTTTGGTTATGTATCATTGTTGTGTGTAGAGTTTTGTGCATTTGCATGCAGTTTTCCATCTGTTATAAGAAGAGGGGGTTACATTATTTATCACTAATATAGGAAATGATAATGATATGACATTGGTACCATAGGTATCATTGGTGCCATTTGTAGTGACAAATAAGTATAATAAATGTTCACTTGACAAAACAGACTGTGAATAAATTCAATGACTTTTGGCTTTAACTTTAGCAGTGCTTCTGTCTATAACATACACTGCTTTGGCCTATAACATGCACTGCTTCCAGCCTCATGGTATTATTGCCAAGTGCCTGAGGACTGAAGATTTCTCTCAAGCAGCCTAATCAGTTCTAATTTTGCACACAATGTGTAAATCATAACATCTGGACAGCTGCATTACACATTCTAGATATAGCTGGCTGTGGATGGCACATCTCAGTATAACCTCACCTTCCACCATAGCTGAGTAGCTCACTCCCCTGCATACTTGGTTTAGTTTTAATGAGTTACATGTAGATCTTATAGTTGATAGTAGGTTTACTCTACATTTCTCATTCAACTCTGAAACCTTATTTACATAAGCTAACAATCGCTACAGGATGTCTTTCAGTTGAAACAGTTGTGTTAGGGTTAAAAATTCAGGATTTTGATTAGGAATGGCAATGGACTCTTTTATTACTTCGGACTACTAAGAACTATAGTATATATTTGCATTCCTGCCAAAATGATAATTTTAACATATGAAGTATATGATGCAGTTTTCATGGAATACATTGGAATATGTTATAATTTTCATAGAATATGAAATAATTACCATACTTTCATGGAATATATTTCAGCTATGAGGCAAAGGTTGCACTCATAAGTGAATGCCAATTATGTTCAGCCAATTTACTTGTGTTGACCTATGACATGACATCAGCCAATCAGAAACAATGTGGCAACCTCTTTGGTGTGACATTGAATAATGCATGGAGTGTATACTTTTTAAAGTTTAGTCAAGTTAAAAACAGCCAATGTCAACTCATTTTTGCATAAACAGGGCAGCTTTAATTAGCAATGTACCCTTTAAAATGAGACCCCTTTTAGCACACATTGTTAAAACCAAGGTGTCAAAAAGGAGCAGAAGTACCAAAATATCTACAATTGGTTTAAATGGATAGCTCTTTGAAGAACCGTATTTGTAAATAAGAAGTGTGAGTGTGAAGAGTCTTTTTTAAAGTTTACACATAAAGTTCCACATAACGTAAAGGTTCTATACCAACACTAAATGTTTTAGCTCTAAATATCTAAGACAAGAACAATTTAAAACCCTTTATTTTTAATAATGTAGGTATGCCAAGCCTGACTAGAAAAATTACCTTGTGAGGAATGACCAGGGCAGAGCCTCCGTTGATGCCTACTATAGGAATAGAAGTCTGTGAAGAGATGAAGTCTAGGATCTGAGCCACAGCCTCTGAATCAACATCGTCCTCGAAAACCACACCATGAAGGCTCTCAGTGGCCATAGTCTGACAGAGGCGTGTTAACAGTGCACTAGGGTTGGTATCGTTCACTAGCACGGTGATGGGATTGACATCCAAAGGCAGATCCAGGAAGTTCTCCCGGCTCAAACGACCCTTTATTTCACCCTGGTGAGTAGAGCCGCTGAATACAACTGCCACATTAACTGTAGGTGGGCCAAAGAATGGACGGCCATGGCAGTGCGGCGTGGCACTGAGCAACAGGAGGAGGAACAGGAGGAGCTGGAGAGAGGGACTCAAACGCCCCCGGGGCATGGCCATTTCAGCCACCTACAGCCTGTAGACAGACAGAGAGAGAGAGAGAGAGAGAGAGAGAGAGAGAGAGAGAGAGAGAGAGAGAGAGAGAGAGAAAGATAGAGAGAGAGAGAATAAATATGTTCAGGAAACAACAGTGATTTGATTAATTCCACAATAAATACCTTCTTTACTTAAAATTACCCAATTTACTATAATGCCCTGTGTTAAGAAAAAAAGAGCTACTTGTTATGAAAGGCTATTGCTGCAACTTGTAATCCCTGATTGCATGTGCTTTGGTCTCAGTGTGTGAGTGTGTGTGAGACACAACAGGCCATTAGCAGTCTGAGGAAGAAACACACTGAGAGCCCAGTGAGGGCTTCACAGCTAAACCGCACTCTCTCAACACTACCCAGTGACCACTCTTTGACTCCACTAACCCACAGATGGTGGCAGTCTGTGGCACAGGCACCTAAAGAGAAAAACAGTCTATAAACCATGACCTGTTTTTTCTCTCTCATTCTGTGCTCTATTTCGCACTTCAGTTATTATCCAAAGAGCCGCTACCAAATGCTACACAATTATTAATAGTAATAGACGTTTGTGTATTAGTCACAGCCAATGTCACTTTTATTTGTCACTATTTGTATTGGAATGTTTAGCAGTGCTTATTTCAGAGCACAGTTGTTAGGATATATATTAAATGGAGTGACATAGATGTGTAATCTGGATAGTTTAATGTCAAACAACCAGCAGAAGTATTATAACCTCAGAGCTCTGCTACAGATGGAAAGATCCAATACTGTGCAAAAGTCAAAAAACCTCTTCATTTATTTAGTTTCCAGTTAAAGGTGCCATTAAGAACAAGTTATTCATTTCATTCATTTATTCATTTTTAGCATCAAGATGCAGAAAACATATCACCAACAGCTAGACATAATATAAACATTTTCAAACTTGGCCTTTACTATAGCTTCCATTCTTTGGGATATTTGCTTTCAGATTTTCATAGAAATCTGCAGGGATAATTTTTCAAAGGTTCAAACTCCCAAACCCCAAACAGATCCCAAACAGATAGACTGTCCATCCCAGAAACCACACCTCAACATCACTGAATGTATAGATTTCCTCTCAGACACATATCACTGACTTGACTTCTTACAGTGGAGGGATGGATGGACAGAAACACCTGTGGATTTTTCAGCAACACTTTATTTGGATGGTCCACTGTAGATGCTTTGTAGATGCTCAGTCTATTTTGAACTAACCAGGTCTTGCACAGTTGTTAAAAGTTTAATTTTCTCTGTGTCTTTGAATTAGTCTCTGAACTCCAGTTTTCAAAACGCTTGTGTTTGCCTTTCTACGTATTTTCCTTTGGCTTTCTCTTTCATTAAGCAAGTGGATTATTTTATATCTAATCTCCTCAGAAATACAGCCTGAGAAATGAATTACTTGTACTTAATGGTTGTTTTGACTGGGAATTAAATAATAGCATATTTAGTGTGAAGCATCCTTCTTCATTCATATTGATTTCTCCAGTGGTGTAAAGAAATAATAGCAATAAATAAATGATAGCAAAAATGTTAGCAAAGAGTAGGACATTGGTAATGTGCAGAGGGCTTGGTGTTGATCAGTATGGCTCTTTACCACAGGTCCAATACTAGAAAAAAGCTGTTCAGCTGCATGCTGGTTTTGATTTGGATGGATTTGAAATGTTTTCTGTGGCGACGGTTATGAAGCAGGTGGTGTCCTGGCTGGGAGGGGTCAGTTTACCTTGAATTCATGTAAGTATTCAGTGGATGGGGAAGTGCAGCTGATGACATTGTGTGGGTGGGCAGTCGCTTTCAGTGATAATCTTGTGATTTAGGGTGCTGTTTGGGTTTTTTATTTGGAACAAAAGGTAAATGTGTCACATTGCCTTCTTTGTTTGAGAAATGAGGTTTGTTCTGTCCCCGAAAATGCTAATGACGATGGTGTCCAGGAATTGGAGGGATTCAAGTACACAGACAGCTGTGTTGTTGTTGGCAATGTTGCAAGGTTGTCAGCATAAGTCATTTGACATTTTCAGATTAACACAGTTTACCTACATTTTACCTGCATTCTATACATTATCTGATAACCATATGTGACAAGTTATTTGTGTGCAGGAGGAAAGAAAGCACATTAGCTTGTGGTGCAGTTGCATGCACTGTCACTTGTGATAGCCAATAGCTCAGGGATAATCTGATGTACAATGATGTTTGTTTGTTATGTGAACACCCCTCCTACTTATAGAATGTTTCAGCCATACCCGTTGCTAACAGGTGTAGGAAATCAAGCACATAGCCACGGAATCTCCATAGATAAACACTGGCAGTAGAATGAGTCGTACCAAAGGGCTCAGTGACTTTAACTGTGGCACTTTGTGAAATTTCTGACCCACTAGATCTGTCCCAGCCAACTGTAAGTGCTATTGTTGTGAAATGGAAGCATCTAAGAGCAACAACAGCTCAGCCACGAAGCATTAGACCATGCAAACTCACAGAGCGAGGCCGTTGAGCGCTGAAGCACGTAGCATATAAAAGTCAGCCATCCTTTGTTGCATCATTCACTACAGAGTTCCAAACTGCCTCTGGATGCAACATCATGACAAGAACTGGGTCTATCAGGTCTTGTATGGTTGTTAGGAGTCCCATTTTCTCTGTATCCTTTGATAATTTTTTGACTACAGTTTTGGAAACTTTTGTTTTTTTTTCAAGTTTCCTTTGACTTTCCTTTTCCTAATGCAAGTGGATTATATTACCTCTGATCTTCAGAAATTAATAATGTTTTTTTACAGTTGTTTTGACAGGAAACTAAATAAATGAAGAGTGCTCTTTGACTTGTGCACAATACTGTACATTTTTGATACATTTAAAAAAAAGACTTTGGCAAGGCTTTGGTAATTTTGCCTTTACTTGTCATTTTCATTCTTTTCATAGATGCTCTGTAAAGAACCCAATCTGGGGCTCAGGGCCTTGTTCAACGTAGCAGCAGTGATATTAAAGCTGCAAACCTATGACCTTTTGTTTATAGATGTGCTTCTTCAGAACCATGTTGGCCCGACATTTCAGAGTGCGTCTTTCAGAGCTCCGGAGGAATCTCAAAAAACCAGGTGGCAAAAAGGTTTTTCATGTTTAAATGGCCATGGAATATCAACTCCATCGAGTCTCCTTTCAAGGGATTTTTAAGCGTGTGCCACTCATTCCACTGTACAATTCATCCTAATTATTTCCGACAATTTGTGAGATTATGCTATAGAGATTTGGAATGCCATTAGCAGAAGAATCAGTGGATAATGTTCATTTTATCAACTGGAGAATGGTCAGGTTAAAGAAGAACAGTGTAGGACTGGCACCTTCTCAAAGTTTTGAGCAGTGTGCATCACAGTAGTCCATTGTTTTCGAGGGTGAGGGCAAACAGCCTCGCAGCCTAATGAGATGCGCCTGATTTAGAATCTTAAAGGTTACTCCCATCCATCCATGCCAGTGTTTTACAAGTGCAACCACACAACCTATTAAGCTATCAGAGCAGCTACAACATGCATTTAAATTATTCTGGATGATATATAGCAATGCCTGTTAACAGTTTTGTGATATTTTGCTCAATAATGAAAGAAACGACTACAAGAACCATTGTAATTGGGATGTCTTCAGTATGAACACATCATCATTTAGTGTGAAATCACAAGAAGTTCCCAGCTTAGATGAAGCAGATGGTCGAGCAGGCAGAATGATGTATGCTGTACTCAAAAGAGCAACAAAACAAAACCATGCTTGCCAGGAAGAACCTCAGGCTCATACAGCTTCAGAAGCCCATCTCTAATTCATCTAAGGATCAAAAGGTCTCTGTAATTTCTATATGTGAACTAAACTAAAGTTTCAGGCCATGCTGAACAAATATGCATTATCTCTCTATCTACTATTTAATTTACAGTTTATGGGATAAAGATATCAGTTACATTGCAATTTTTTCTATGTCCTTGCTCTTTTTATGATCTGCAATCTTAGTAAAATGTTCCAGTGCCTAAAAATATTCAATGACTTGTAACAACAGAACCATTTTTTAAAAAGTTTCTTTAAAAAATATATACGCTCAATGAGATGAAACAAGTATTCAAACATTTTTGCTTTTGTTATTCAATATACTTCTAGTGTAATACTTGCAAAAGACACAATATATTTTGACTTTGTATTTATATATAAATATGTTGTCATAATGTGTCAGTTGATGGCAATTGCAGCTTCGGGACATCTACAGTAAGAAGTAATGCGCTTTTTGCAGCATGGTAGTTCAATTTTGGCCCTTTCTTCTTGGTAAACCATCTTCTGTTCCTCAAGGTTATGAGGATTTTTCTCTTGGACTCACAATAACAAAATTCACCATAAGTTTTAAATGGAAGTCACGTCAGGAGGTTGGCTAGGCCATGCAATCATTTTCCCCTTTTTTAGAAACCAGTCTTGAGTTGTTTTGGCTGTGTCTGGGCTCGTTGTCTTGTTGAAATGTCTATCTTCTCAGATTTCTTGGCCAAAGAGATTAAATTCTCCTCTAATATGTCCCTGTACATCGATCTATTCTACGATGTGTTTGCAGAGAAGCTGCCCCATATCATGATGCTCCCACCTCCGTACTTCACTGTCGGTATGACGTTCTTGGAATCATATGCGCAGCCCTTTTTCTCCAAACGTTACAAGCTGAATTATTTACAGAGAGCTTTTGTTTTGTCTGACCAGAGTACAAAACAGTTCTGATTTGTCTACTTGTTTTTTTTAGCAGAGGGGTTTTGCAGTAATGGAGATGATTATGGTACAGTTCTCTGTCTAACTGTTGTCTCTGCTGCTTTCAGGCCATCCTTAAACTCTTTTCAAGTGACATTTATGTGTAGTATGTATATATGCAAACATATGTTTGCATAATATGTAAAATGTATGGAATCTTTTTCACCTATACATATATGTATATTTAAATCTAGTGTCAGAATACTTTTCCCTATGAATTTCAGTTTTAAAGTCTTTTTTGTTTATG